GTGGCAAATTCCAAATTATCTCAACTTGAATGATGAAAATTTCTCGAAAATGTTAACACAATTAGATAAGAATAACTCCCCACGCGCGAGGTGGGGGAGTTATTCTTTTCAAGTGTCTTCTTCGTGAATCTTGAAAGATGTGCGAAGTTGAAGTTTTCGCCGGGAGCAACGTTTCAATCCCGACAATATTGCCGAGACGTATCTCCCCTCGAGACCACCCCATCCTAACACTTACCCTTAACACCGGGAGCTTTTCGCCCAAACCAAATAACACTTCCTGGATCTCTCGGAGTCCCTTTGTAAGGAGTGGGAAAGTCGTTGCGGGAGCGATCCGGGCGCGGTCCGGTCAATTTCGCTAATGGACCGGCACGTTTTTATTGGCATCTACAACAATAAAAATTCGACGAAGAAACGTCTACGGCTACCGCGCATTCTGCTTGTTGCTGATCGTGACCACCAGAAGCTCTTCTCATCGAAACTTTCGGACCCGCCTCATACTTCTTCGGCGTTAATAGCCGCATCACGAGTCTTTTATGTTTAGGTTCAACGCGTCGTTAGGTCAAAAAGGGTTCAAGAAATAATATATATAAATAGTTTATATTTTAAAGTTTTAAAGTTGAGGAATTTTTTTATGGTTGTGTATCTGGTTGTGGCGATCGTAGCCTGGGCGCGTTAAATGGGAGTGTCGCGGTGGAAATAATTATCCTAAAATATCGATGTATCATTTCGGGGGGCGGAGTCCCGGTCGGTTTGGCACCTCCGGGGCCCCGCCGCCGCCGCGGTACACCGGCAATTACGGACTGTAAATTTACAAAAGATAAACGGCGATCCCCGTTCGGGGGGTTAGCTCTCCACTCGCCTACCGTGTGTCTCTGAAATTAGGGACAGATATCTCTGTTACCGCAGGCGCTTTTTAAACGGACTCCGTTCACCACGTCTACAATGTCGCGCAAAAATAATCGACGATTACAACACTCTTTTTAATTACAAAAAAAAAATAAACCCATTTCATATCAAAACTTATCAAAGAACTAATTCGAATTAATTAAAGAAAAATTAAATAAATTTAAGTATAAATTGGCGTATTTTCTTTTTTGAGTGGTCTTGTACATTTAAGATTTTTCTCTGGGGCGTTTCGGAGATGCCGTCCGTGTGGGATATTAATAAATGACACCTTCACTATCTCTTATCGGCTTCTCGAAGCTTGTAATTAGCGTAAGTAATATAAATTGCCCTTTAGACTTGAGGGGAAGTGAAAGGAAAAATCGTTTTGCTTCATTTCAACCATTACAACGTTGCCAATTCTGTTTCAATCATTTTGAAATTCTAAAAATTTTATACTAAATTTTTGTTCTTTATTAAATTTTACATTACCTTGATACAACAAGATTTAAAGTTGCTTGGATGTATATATTTTTTTTAATACAATGACATCCGGTTGGGTTTTGGAGTTCGAACTCTTCGTTCATATCACAGAATAACCAGAAGTGGCAGTGGTAGTATCCACAGTATTATAGCGAGTTACCAAGATATGTTGCTATTGGTGGTAAAGATTTGGCGGAATACCATTAGTGTCAGTTCTGGTTATTCTGTGCCAAGGTCTGTTGAGTATTGGTTATATGGAACTTATAATATTATGGAACTAGAAACATTCGGATTTAGCCGTACGTTTTTTAAGATGGCTAAACCTGAATGATTCTAGTTCTAGGTATTGCACTGCATAACAATTAAAACTAGAACTAACACTAGACCTAAAATTAGAAACATTCGGCTTTAGCCGTGCGTCTGAGGACGCACGGCTAAACCCGAACCTTTCTAGTTCTAGGTCTAGTGTTAGTTCTAGTTTTACACTTAGCACTCTTACTATGTAGAATTAACACTATAGCTAGAACTAGAATTATTTGGGTTTAGCCGCACGTCTTTAAAGACGGCTAAACCCGAATGATTCTAGTTCTAGGTATAGTGTTAGTTCTAGTTTTACACTTGCATTGTCACTAGAACTAACATTAGACCTAAAACTAGAAACATTTGAGTTTAGCCGTACGTCTCTTAAGACGGCTAAACCCAAATGATTCTAGTTCTAGGTCTAGCACTGCATAACAATTAAAACTAGAACTAACACTAGACCTAGAACTAGAAAGTTTCGGGTTTAGCCGTGCGTCCTCAGGCGAATGTGTATTAGTTCTAGTTTTACACTAGCACTCTTACTATGTAGAATTAACACTATAGCTAGAACTAGAATCATTTGGGTTTAGCCGCACGTCTCTAAAGACGGCTAAACCCGAATGATTCTAGTTCTAGGTATAGTGTTAGTTCTAGTTTTACACTTGCACTGTTACTATGTAAAACTAACACTATACCTGGAACTAGAATCATTTGGGTTTAGCCGCACGTCTCTAAAGACGGCTAAACCCGAATGATTCTAGTTCTAAGTATAGTGTTAGTTCTAGTTTTACACTAGTACTATCACTAAAAGTAACACTATACATAGTACTAGAATCATTTGGGTTTAGCTCCCGTCTTTAAAGACGGCTAAACCTGAATGATTCTAATTCTAGGTATAGTGTTAGTTCTAGTTTTACGCTTGCACTGTCACTAGAACTAACGTTAGACCTAGAACTAGAATCGCACGTCTCTAAAGACGGATACGTTCATAACAATAGTGTTCATAGGGCGTTGGATAACCTTATACAGTATGTTTACTCAACGAACCTTGATTCTGTGCTTTTGGTAACTCCTGATAAAATGGCATATTTTAAAATGAGGTGCCGCCAACATCAAATGAACCGACGTCAGTGTCATTTCTGGTTATCCTGTGGTTCATATCATGTTCCAGCTACATAGTTTCCATTGACTCTTGTTGTATTGTATACTTTCTTCTCTTTTCAAAGAGAAGGATTCTTGGCTTCATCTTCTTAAAACTTTCTGTCCCGTGGATTTTATTTCTTACACGTGTTTCGGCATTAGTATCCACAAACCATATTCAATGAATAATAATAATAATAATAATAAATGTCTTCATTCCCCAACATAACATATTACACAACAAATAACATATTAATACGAGTTACAGTATGTATTTGGAGAATTCTGAATCTTTTTTGAGGTTATAAAAAATTTGACGTTAGGTTATGTCATATTACCAAACGTCAAGTTTCCTAAAATTTTACAAATCGAATTTTTAATTAAATGACTATATTAAATGATATTTTTCTCTAAAACGATTTATAATTAAAAAATGAACTTGGCAATATAAAAGAATATAAATAAAAAAAATCATTTATCTGTATTTCTAAAAAAATAAAACTATTTAGTGTCAATGAACGTTAAGAGATGGTGCTAATTAACACAGAGAAGTTAGGTACTTAAATTTATTTTTGACATTACCGACTTGGAAATGTCAGTTTAAAAAATATTTTGAGGTTAAATTGAATTATTTTTTAATTGTAAGTAAAACGTTAAAAATTTCGAATTAATTTTGATAAATTTTTGAAGTCTTGTCCAATTTGTCTTGTATAGAAATGCCCAATGAGCACCACAGCGTGTCCACCACAGAGGCAATTACGTTGCAGTTAGAGCCGTCTCCGAAGCACACAATATGTGTCACCGTCGTCGACGATGAACACATCACCTGGAAATTATGGGCCTGAGATGGTCGTGAATAACTCAGACGGCCGCGCCATCATCATCCAAGCCCCGTAATGACGTTTTTATGACGTCATTAAGGGGCCACCTCTCGGCCGGTTCAATTAAAACGCGAAACCGAATCGCCCCGTTGCGGTTACCGGCCCGGAATTTATCATTAATAAACAACGGCGGACGTTCAGCTATGACGTTTATTCGAGAGTGTCTTTTTTGCCTTGAACGTCTCATCTCACTTTGGAATTTGTTATGCCTTATTTTTTAACGTTTCCATTGGGTTTGTAACTTTCGTTTTCCGCCGTTTTGGGTTTTGGGTCGATCGCTTATATTATCCGTGAATCCGGGCGTAATCCGGGGGCGCTGGGAAACGAGCAAGCTGCGAGCTAATACAAAATCATAACATCATACGGTCGCAGCACCCGGAACGAGCTACTTTTATAATCTGATTTTGGTGGCGGCTGCGCTCCCTGAAATGGGTGGCGGGATATTTGAATATTTATATACATAAAACGGCAGCCCGCTTCGTGCATTAGCTACTTCAAAACTGATTCCGGCGGATTTAACTTTACGATGAAAATCTCATGGAAATTGCAACGAGTGTTAGGATTTTCGCTGGAATTTTAATGGATGAGGAAGAATTTTGAATAAAATATAAATTTATTAAAAAAAAAATAATTCTCTCTTAATGCTTTTTTTGGGTCATTAATAATCCTGAGTTAATTAATTTTTGAGGAAATTAAGATCGAATTTGGGTTATTATTTTTTTAACCTCACCCCAGGTATAACAACACCAGCTTTTATTCACACAAATAAAGACTTTTTTGGTCGCGTGCTAGCTACATCAGCTGTGACGCCACGATAATGATTGATTCCTTGTAGATTTCGCACACTTATTAATCTCCCAGATATAACCGCAATTTGTCGATCTTCCACAACACATCGACGTTGACAAGTTCGATGATGGGACCCCCCGTTATCTTGCCCTTCGGTCATTAGCCGAGGGCCATTGTATTTCGCACCCTAAGTTTTTACGTCTTCAAACAAAGAACGTTTTCGACATCGTTGTCATCTGTATAAAGTGAAAAGGACGAATTACGAACAAATTCCCGTCTTCAATTGCCTTAATTAGGTCTTCGTTAATTATCTAATGAATGAAATCAAAAAAAAGAAAATACAATCATGGGAAAGAGTGGGTGTATGATAATGTGCCCGGATGGATTAATAAATACTTAGATGAAGAAAGTACGTTTTGGTTCGTAACTTGACGTTACGTCTTTTATATTTAATTTTTTTTTGTTTATTTCGATTCCATTGTGTACGTAGGGCCTCATTCTAATTGATTTCTCATGTTTGGACAGGCCTATAATGGGGCCGAACGGCGTCGGCCACGATCAGATACGGGCATAATCGATTCTGCGAGCTAGTCATCCCATGACACGAAGACGTCTTCATCTGCGTACTCCTTTGGACCACGGGTTACGACTACGTTCGATACATCAAGATTCATCTCGTGGTTTCACGCTGCGACGCCCCGTAAAGAACGTACCGCAGACTGCGAGACCGTGATCGATGGTGATCTAACAGGAATTGGATATGTCGATCTTACTAAGAGATCTAAATACAGTAAAACCACGCACAAAATATTTTTAAGTCATACTATTAACAATATCTATTTAATACATCACTATATTTAAATATAAATGTTAGCGCTCGTAAGATGCGATTCCACAATGAGAATATCTCATAAGATTTTCGTCTCATAATATAAAAATCGCAGCATAACTTTAATTTCGTTGTGGAAATAGGGACTAAAATATATGATATACTAGAGATAATCTCCTGAAACGATGTGTCATGTACTGTTAAATGGACAAGAACTATGATACTGCAGTTAATCGAATGATATGAATCCATTTCTAGCTTGTGGGACATCTCGTCCAAAAACTATAAAAATAGAAAACTTTGGAAATCAGCTACTGAAGAAACGAAGAAGTGAAGAAACGAAAACACACTAAAAGCAGCCAGGCAGCTGGAGAAAATTTTGAAGTGAAATGGGAATTTTAGACTTCATAGATGGACCGACATGTGGTGATGGAACAACAATGGATTCATTGGTAAGTTAATCATAATTTTTTTATATATATTTGTATTGCCATGGAGCTTCTCCTTCATGGTGGAAATATTGTCTAAATGTCAGTTGTACAGGGTGGTTCAAATTCGATGTCCGAATAGGCTATCTCGCAAACTATAAGAGTTAGAAAAAAAGTAGCTTACATGTCATGATCTCGTTTTTCGAGAAACTGCTAATGCCAAAAACCTCAAAGCGCTATCGTCTTTTGTTTTTCCCCTAGAGGCCAAAATTGAAAATATCATAAAACCAATAAGTGCAATTATCTTGGTTATTATTATAGGTGGAGTATTATAACTAAGATATTATATGGACACTTTTTTACAGAGAATTTGATGACGTAGTCAAAAAAAATTTTTCTGTTTTAGATTTTGAGATATTATGACAATTTTGGTTTTTCTAAATGGAAGCAACCACGATTATTCGCTTATTAAATTGGTTATTTTTTTCTGATTACAAAAATATGGGGTTAGATAGATCTATTTCTTATTGTTTTAGAATAAAGCTAAAAATAAACTTTTTTTTAGTGTCATCAAAAAAATTAAATTTACAGTTTCCTGTAAATTACGGTACTATAATTAAAAATTTATATAAAATTTACTTTATTTTCTAATATGTAACATTCTAACATGTTAAAGTTTTCGTAATTTTTGTAATCCATCTTAAAAAAGAGGATTTTTAATTTGACACTTTAGAAAATTTTTGAATACAAACAAATGTTGTTATGTTTATTTGAATTAAAAAAATATATATGAGCGCCATCTATCAATAATTTATTAAGTCATTTAATAATAATATTAAATATTAATAAAAAATGTGAAATAAAGCAATCTCTTCCAATTTTTGTGTAAAACAAATATAAATTAAATAATTCAACAAATGTATTTGTTTCAAATATCAGAAATATGTTTTCTTAATTTTTACTTATAATTTACAGGAAACTGTAAATTTAATTTCTTTGGGAACACTAAAAAAAATTTTTTTTTAACTTTATTCTAAAACGATAAGAAACATTGATACACGTGTTTTAAGACGCCTTCTTTAGCTACGATAACAAAGAGAACTGTCTTACTTCGTCCTGGTAGTGGTCTAGGTTTTGGAAATTTTAAACTATCATTAGCAAGTTTCTTTGAAACTAAACAAACTGTGGAAACTGCGTATTCAGAGGCACCTTGTTTATATCATGAGAGAAAAATTTGAACTCGGATGTGTCTCGGGTGCGGAAACACATCTTAAATAAATTTGTCATTTTAGTCTCTTTGTGGACACCAAGCTATAGATAGAATCCAACTCAGGTTATTCCCCTAGTTGCTCTATTCCCTGTTCATAGATAAACTAAGGGTATTCCACCGAGTTGTCTATACGCTGTATAATAAACTTTCATAACATGCGCGATTGCCGAGTATTAACACCAACAACTAGTAAAACAACAAAATTCGCCAAATTTCCATATTTTCGTGTTTATCTCGATATCTATGCATCTCAGAGCAAACGAGTAAGAACGCAATATTGTTAAGAATAAAATTTGCTACAACTATTGTTCTAAAAGTTATTTTGTAACAATCTCCAATTCCCAAGTGTTACCATTAACAACTTGTGGAATAACGAAATTCATCAAATTTTCATATTTTCGTGTTTTTCTCGATATCTACGCATCTGAGAGCAAAAATGCAAGAAAGCAATATTGTTAAGAATAAAATTTGCTACAACTATTGTTCTAAAAATTGTTTTGTAACATGCTTCGATTCCCAAGTGTTACCATTAACACCTTGTAGAATAACGAAATTCATAAAATTTTGATATTTTCATGTTTTTCTCGATATCTACGCACCTGAGAGCAAAAATGCAAGAAAGCAATATTGTTAAGAATAAAATTTGCAACAACTATCGTTCTAAAAGTTGTTTTGTAAAATGCTCCGATTCCCAAGTATTACTATTAGCAACTTGTAGAATAACTAAATTCATCAAATTTTCATATTTTCTAACTTTTCTCGATATTTAAGTATTTGAGAGCAAAAGTGAAGGAGAGCAATATTGTTAAGAATAAAATTTGCTACAACTATTGTTCTAGAAGTTGTTTTGTAACATGCTCCAATTCCCAAGTGTTACCATTAACAACTTGTGGAATAACGAAATTCATCAAATTTTCATATTTTCGTGTTTTTCTCGATATCTACGCATCTGAGAGCAAAAATTCAAGAAAGCAATATTGTTAAGAATAAAATTTGCTACAACTATTGTTCTAAAAATTGTTTTGTAACATGCTCCAATTCCCGAGTGTTACCATTAACACCTTGTAGAATAGCGAAATTCATCAAACTGTGATATTTTCGTGTTTTTCTCGATAGCTACGCATCTGAGAGCAAAAATGCAAGAGAACAATATTATTAAGAATGAAATTTTCTACAACTACTGTCCTAAAAGTTATTTTGTAACAATCTCCGATTCCCAAGTGTTACCATCAGAGTCGCGATGTTTTGGGCTGTTGATGTCACCTTCTGTATAGAGCAGCGAACGGGTTATAGCGTAGTAGTAACATGCTTGTATCGAGCACATCGATGTGCCGCAACGTAACGATACTGGTTGAATGCTGGCCTATGTAAAATTTGGAGGGTTCTTTGCGGTGCAGCATTTAATACTTGTTTGGCCGATTGTCCGACTAAAACTCAACCAGTGGCGTGGTATACTATATGTGGCATGATGTGGTCCATGTGGCCCTAGTATCTACCGTAAGGCTGCGTAAGGCGACGAGCCACCAATGAGTTGCCCGACAACGTCGCGGCTCTGGTTACCATACATTAACAAGTAGTAAAACAACGAAGTCGCCAAATTTTCATATTTTCGTCCTTATCTCGATATCTATGCATTTGAGAGCAAATATACAAGAAAGCAATATTGTTAAGAATAAAATTTGCTACAACTTTTTTTCTAAAAGATTTTT